GTGAAGCCCTCGCTGAAAAACAGCCAGTGTAAAAAGGCCTAGAGGTGTGGCTCGAGCGTTAGAATGCCCACTGAGCACGTGCAAGGTCCTGAGTTCAAACACCAGGACTGCTAAGAAAAAAAGGGGGGGGGCCTCACACAGTGGTCCCTTCAGCTCTAGAGGGAAGATCTCAGCTTTACTTTCTGCTCCATCATTACCTCTGAAAGAGAACGTCTCAGCCTTCCTGGATAACCAAGTGTCTCTGTGGAACACAACCAGGCCGTGCAGATGAACACAGAAAACACTGGCGGCCTCTTCCTTTCTCCTAACAGGTTGATACCAAACCAGCTCCCTCCCCACCTGTAAATACTTGGCTTTGTGTCTCCCTCAGTTCCTGGTGCTGCTCACCTTTATCGGGGGCTCTCTAAGGCTGGGATTCAGAGGAAGTCCCCGGGCACTGGTCATTGGTTTCCAACACAGGGAGCTACCAAACCAAGCTGCTAGCATGGCCTGGTGAGCAGGGTGCTGGGAAGTGATCTGCGGGTTTCTCTCGCATTTATGCCTGGCCATGCAGATCTAAACTACAGCCGCCCTCCCCCTCCCGAGGCGCGGGATGACTAAACCATAGAAATGTATTAGTGAGTTCTGCGTTCTTACATGTGTACTTTTAAAAATAGAAACTGTGATTTAATATTGTAAGCATGTATAGCTTACTTTTTGGCGATACTGAGGTTTGAACTTAAGGCTTTGTGCTTACTAAGCACTTCAGCCAAACCTCCATCCCTTTTTGTTCTGGTTCTTTTAAAGATAGGGTCTTAACTTTTTTTGCCCAGGCTGGCCAGGACAGCAACCCCCATTTATGCTTCCCACTTAGCTGGGATGAGCACGGGATGTAGTCTGCACAAACTTTCCATGTTATCTAGCCCCAAACCACGATCCTCCTCATTTCAGCCTCCCAAGCACTTAGCAGTATAGGATGGGGGATTAGCCCCTGTTGTAAATGAACTTCCAGGATGGCAGTGATTAACAATTGGTTTGCAAAACTGTGGAAGAGCTAGCAATTTCTCTGGAGCCAGTGTGAGCCAGCGTAAGCCAGTCTGCCCTCCCGCTGCTAGGAGAAGTGTAAGCACCCCCTTTCTGTAGCCCTGGGAGAAAAAAGAAAGGATGACAGAACTCTCCTCATTCCATTCTGTCTTCAGCACATGGTAAATTCTTTTCTCCCTCTGACCTTATGATCTTTACACAGGGGACTGGCTACATCGTTTTGAGATCCCAGTGACTATGAAAATGGAGGCCTCTGGTCCAACAACGTGGCTAAGTTTCAATTCAGGGGGGCATCAAGCCACGCGTGGTGTTGTGCCTGTGAGCTGCCTCTGCCTGCCCTCTGCCTTGTCCTGTGGGCCATGCCGGAGCAGCCCACCCCACTGGGCTACGCAGAACTAGCACTGCAGGCAGAAGGTGGCAGGAGGTGAGGCTGGGGCAGAGCCTGCCCTTGGGATGCCCTTGGGCCCAGCCTCTGCTGCCTCGTCAATTACGGGGAAGACCAAGGGAGGCTTCACAGTGTCTCCTCGGATGTTCTCGAGGGATCCACAGACTGCCTCGGGAAGCTCAGCCGGCAGAGGGGGCGCTGGAACGGCTACCTGGGCACGAGAACCCCAATGGGGCCAAAACGAGAAGCCCCAGTGATGGGCGGGGGCGTGATGCCCTGAAACGGAGGGGTGATGCACAGGTGTGTGAGGGCGGGGCTCTGCACAGGTGTGCTGCACAGGTGTGTGAGGGCGGGGCTCTGCACAGGTGTGCTGCACAGGTGTGTGAGGGCGGGGCTCTGCACAGTTGTGCTGCACAGGTGTGTGAGGGAGGGGCTCTGCACAGGTGTGTGAGGGCGGGGCTCTGCACAGCTGCGTGAGGGCGGGGCTCTGCACAGGGGTGCTGCACAGGTGTGTGAGGGCGGGGCTCTGCACAGGTGTGCTGCACAGGTGTGTGAGGGCGGGGCTCTGCACAGGGGTGCTGCACAGGTGCGTGAGGGCGGGGCTCTGCACAGGGGTGCTGCACAGGTGTGTGAGGGCGGGGCTCTGCACAGTTGTGCTGCACAGGTGTGTGAGGGCGGGGCTCTGCACAGGTGTGCTGCACAGGTGTGTGAGGGAGGGGCTCTGCACAGGTGTGTGAGGGCGGGGCTCTGCACAGCTGCGTGAGGGCGGGGCTCTGCACAGGGGTGCTGCACAGGTGTGTGAGGGCGGGGCTCTGCACAGGTGTGCTGCACAGGTGTGTGAGGGCGGGGCTCTGCACAGGGGTGCTGCACAGGTGTGTGAGGGCGGGGCTCTGCACAGCTGCGTGAGGGCGGGGCTCTGCACAGGGGTGCTGCACAGGTGTGTGAGGGCGGGGCTCTGCACAGGGGTGCTGCACAGGTGTGTGAGGGTGGGGCTCTGCACAGTTGTGCTGCACAGGTGTGTGAGGGCGGGGCTCTGCACAGGTGTGCTGCACAGGTGTGTGAGGGCGGGGCTCTGCACAGCTGCGTGAGGGCGGGGCTCTGCACAGGGGTGCTGCACAGGTGTGTGAGGGCGGGGCTCTGCACAGGGGTGCTGCACAGGTGTGTGAGGGCGGGGCTCTGCACAGGTGTGTGAGGGCGGGGCTCTGCACAGGTGTGTGAGGGCGGGGCTCTGCACAGGGGTGCTGCACAGGTGTGTGAGGGCGGGGCTCTGCACAGGTGTGTGAGGGCGGGGCTCTGCACAGGTGTGTGAGGGAGGGGCTCTGCACAGGGGTGTGGCAGCTGCTCCTCACTCCGCAGCCCCGAAGGTGGGCACAGCGACGTGGGAAAGCAGGCACCGCCGCGCCTGTCACTCAGGCTGTGTGTCACAGGGTGACAGATGTGTAACCTTGTGGCACGCTGGCCTTGCCGGAGGCCTGCCAGAGCACCCTCACTTTGTGTGAGCAGGCTCCCAACTGTACGAGCTGAAACCTGTGGGGGGAACGTGGGGGAGGGAGGGAGGGAAGGGCCAAGGCAGTCATCTTAGTCAATGCGCAGATGGGAACATGGGATGCGTGGGTGCAGTTGGGAGAGACGGACGGGGCACTAATCAGGACACACTGAACTCCTAAGTGGATATGTTGAGGTGAAACCCCTGCTCTACCACTTAAATAAAAGATGTATACAACAACAGTGCAAATACAGCCGTCACCGCGCGGCTAATGACTGTCACCTAGAAATGCAGCCTGCACCCCAGTCTGCAGATCATCTTGTTCCCCGACAGCCAATCATCTAGCTCTCCCCTCTGCGTGATGGTGAGGAGGTCTGTTGATTTGTGTAGCAATGGTGACCATTTGGGCCTCAGGGCATCTGAATTGTGGTTAATGAAGTTTTGAAACCAATTTCACACTTTCTTTTCCTTTTTCTTTTTGTCAGTCATGGGGCTTGAACTCTGGGCCTGGGCGCTGTCCCTCAGTTCTTCAGCTCAAGGCGAGCGCTCTACCACTTGAGCCACAGCGCCACTTCCAGTTTTTTTCTGGTGGCTTATTAAAGATAAGAGTTTCACAGCTTTTCCTGCCCAGGCTGGCTTTGAACTGTGATCCTCAGATCTCAGCCTTCTGAGTAGCTAGGATTACAGACGGCGGCCACCGGTGCCCGGCCCGGCGTGTTTTAAGGTCTGGTGAAGGTGAGTACGTGACCGGCGTGAGGCGCGCGGCAGTGTGACCAAGCCAGAGTATGGGACAATGACTCCCAATCAGCTTCTGCTCTCCTCCTTCCAGCCTTGACTTGTGTTACGATGGTTTTGAAATAGAAACCCATTTGGGCTGGGGCTTGGGTGCCACATTTGTACCTAGCCACCATCTTCCGTTCAGGATGGATTTAGGAACAGAATGGCTTTATTTCTGCTTATTTACATGTTTAACGCCTTGGGTTGAACTCAGGGCTCTGCACGCACAGGCAGGTATTGTATCTTTGAGCTACTCCCAGCCCTCTCTCTTTCCCAAGTGAAGAAGCCGGCAACAGTTTGAAGCTGTTTCTCAGAGTGGGGTTCTGGGCGGCGCAGCAGGTGGCTGGGAACTTGTCAGATATGCAAACTCGGGGCCCGCCCTGCCCCAACCTCCCAGGCAGACAGGGAGGGAGGGTGAGGCTCTGCTGTCAGCCGGACTGAAAAACAACCACCCGGTGATTCTGCCAGCATCCTTCAGTGCCCAGGGCTCTAAAGCAATGTTGAAATGGCTGAAAGGCTGCACGGCGCGCTCTGGGTCTTTCCCAATGCCGAAACGAGGTCGGGGAAAGCACTAAACCCAGCCAGCCGGCCAGCCATACCGGACCGGGGAATGACTACATCTCCAGCTCCCTGCCATCTGGCCAGGCCTCGCCTCTGCCCGGCGGGAAGGGAGCCCAGGACGGCTAGCACTTTCAATCGGAGTCCTGCAAACGCATGCACCTCCACGCAGGAAATGGAGAAATGCAAAACACTCCAACCCAGGGGTAAGGGATGCTGGAAATCTCTGCATGCAAAGAAGTCACCGCAACCCATCGGTGTGCGCCCCTCAGTCTGAGAGCAGAGTGATCACTACTTCCCAAGTGACAGCCACGAGAGAAGCCGGGCGCGACCGACCACTTCCCCCAGGACACAAACGCGCCTCCCGCCCAGCGGCTCTCCACCGCTCCACACCCACCCCCTCTCACCACCCCCCCAGGCACCACGGAGACCCGCTGCCTGCGTGATCCCAAGCGTGTCTCTCCCAGGCCTGTCCCCCAACACATGCTCCTGCAGCACAGAGGTTCTCCGTCCCCAGAACCCCCAGATCGCAGGCACAGAGCGCCCTCCGCGGGAGACAGACCTGCCCCCGTGCTCGCCAGCTTCTCTGAGCCCGACCCGCGAGGCCCCCCGCGGTCACGTGCCCCAGGCCCTGCACGTGTCAAAGTCTCAAAAGCGATTTCTAAAGCCCCCCTCCCCCCCCCCAGCCAACCCAGGGTGCTTCTCTAGAAAGCACCCTTAAAAGAAAATAGAAGAAGGCAGTGACGGCGACATTGCCCACGGCGGGCTTACCGAAGGCCTGGATGCAGATGTCCAGGAGCTCCTCCAGGCTGGCTCCGCGGGCCAGCTGTCCCAGGGGCACCATCATCCCCAGCTGAGTGACCGGGGCCAGGCTGGTGTGGCAGGGCAGGGAGGCTGGCTTCGCCTCTAGTCTTGCTCTGGGGGCAGCTCGGGCGCCATGGGGCTGTTTCCTGGGGAGGAGAGGAGGAGGTGAGGGAGGAAGAGCAGGGAGCAGGTCACAGCACCGCGGACGCCAGGCTCCGGGGCTGGAGAGGAAAGGGGCGGAGGAGAGCTGAGGAGTCCCAGGAGCTGGGCTGAATGGAGGCGCAGCCCTCCCTCCTGGCAAGGGCACTGATCAGACTGGTTGGCTGTGAAACTCCAGGTAAGAGGTCCCCGGGGAAGGGGGAAGGATGCGGGCCCTCCCACTTCTGGAAGGCCAGCGGCAGGTGGCAGACGGTCCCTGGGCCGCCCAGCAGCTCGTGGCCAGTCATTTTTACTACTCCAGCGGCTAAACCACTGGCACGTGCCTCAACAGCTACTGCAGCTGGCCCCAATTCATCTCGAGCGACGCGAGCAGTGCAGAGGTCGGCGGTCTCTGAAGCGCCTTCAGGGAACTCGGGGGAGAACCAGGCCAGGGGAGGCTGAGGGGGCAGTGGTTAGATTTTAAATTAGTCCTGTGCCTTTCTTACACATCTATATTGGGATTAAGAAACCACGTACTATTATCAACCACACAATGACCCCTAAGACATCTTGTATCCCCAAGCACTATTCCATCAAGTCCTTACTTGGATTCTTTTTGGTTTGAACTCTGGGCCTGGGCGCTGTCCCTGAGCTCTTCAGCTCAAGGCTAGTGCTCTACCCCTTGGGCCACAGCGCCACTACAAGCTGTATTCTCAAGGGGTATGTTCTAGAACTAAGTGGAAAAGGACACGTTTGGAATGGACCTGTCATCTGTGTGTGTGTGCGCACACACACACACACACACACACGCATGCTCACCAGTACTGATGCTTGAGCGTGAGTACTGTGCCTCAGCCCTTTCAGCTCAAGGCTACTCTCTACCACAGCTCCATGTCCTTTTTTTTTTTCTTCTTTTGCTGTTTAATTGGAGATAAGTCTCATGGACTTTCCTGCCCAGGCTGGCCTCAAACCTCCATCCTCAGATCCCAGCCTCTTGTGGAGCTAGGGTTACAGGTGTGAGCTACTGCTGCCCAGTCTGTCAGCCTTATCTTTGATCATGACATCATGGGCACAAGTCATTTCACAAAAATGACTTTGAAGGTTTTAAAAATATTTTCCTCTTCACTGGAAAAAAGACACAGATACACATCTGTAATCTTTCTGAAGTTTTAAAAACAGTGATCATTGTTGCTCCTGACACTTTTTGTGGAGTATGGCCAGTTAATTCTCTTCTCCCTACCGTGGCTTTGGTGAGTCCACCGCTTACTATGATTCACCTTAGATCCGCAACTGTTCACAATACATTAAAGCAGAAGCGGCTGTGGCTGTGGGAGGGAGGCCCGCGGGCGGGGGCATGGTGGAGACGGGAGGCAAGCCCAGCACATCTCCTTGGAGGTTGGCTGTCCTTGCATGAAGGCGGTCTGGAAGCTCCTTCGTACAAAAATAAAAATAAAGACTCGACTTGGAGAGTAAGACCGGGAGAAGGGAGGGGAAGGCAGCCCAGCGATTGGGTCCGTGTCCTTTCAGGGGGACAGGCAGGCTCTGCGGGGCCTTTCCCTGGCAGGGGGTTGCCTCAGCCACGCAGGGCTGCCCCGGTGCTCCAAGTGTGGGGGCCCTGGGTAGGGAGAGGAGCCTGCTACAAGCCTGAGCACTCGGCGTGGCCCTCTCCGAGTGGCAGCACCGAGCGCCCAGGGTGTGCTGCACACCCGCTGCTGGGCCTGCTGTGCGTGCTCACTGGCAGCTCCGTTCCCACTGGTACGGGGCCTCAGGAGCCCAAGGCCCGGTGATGCTGAGGGACCAAGCACCGGCCACGACGGATGTCCGTCCCGGGCTGAGTCCGATCAGCAGCTGGGACAGAACCCCCAGAGCACAACAGCAGGGCCCGCCCGGCCCGGCAGCCTGCGCTGGTTGGTGCGTGCTGGCTGCGGACGTGTCTCTGAGCCGATGTGTTCTCCACCTCGGGAGGACGAGGCGGCGCAGCCGCCGCCCGGCTTTTGTGCTGGGGGTGGCCATCTCCTTGGCCCGGGACCCCGAACCTTCCGCCCATCAGAAGGAGCCAGGAGGGCTCGGCGGGTGGACTGACTGCACAGCGGTCAGCTCTGCCCTCGCCTGCCCTGCAGGTGCCAGGAGCTGCGCGGCCCGCCGGCACGGAGCGTCTGCGCAAAGCACTGGCCTGCGGGGACGGGGCGCCGGCGGCCGGGGCGGGCGGGCGGCCTCCGGGCCTCCCCGCTCCGGGCCTCCCCGCCCCTGGCCGCGCTCGCCAGCCTCCCTGCAGGTCGGGACCAGGCTGAACCCAAGACCGACCGAAGGAGACGGGCCGGGCTCCCCCTGCCCGCGCCTCCCCGGGCGGGTGGCGCCCGCGCAGCGGGACCCTCGGCCCCTGCTCCTCCCAGGGAGGGGGATGGGATCGATTCAAAAAGAAAGAAAGATCGAGAGGGAGGTATTTAGGAGAGGAAAAGGCAGGGAAGGGAGAACGCGGCGCCGCCGGGCGGCCAGGCCCGGGACCCCGCGCCCCGCCCGGCCCCGCCGCGCGCCCCGCGTCTCCGAGCCTCACGGCGGCCTCGGGGCGCGGCGAGGGCCGAAGGCCGGGCCCCGGCGCGGGGTGCGCGGGCCGGCGCCACGACGCCCTCCCCGCGGAGGACGGCGCGGGGCGCGGCGGGGAAGGGGCGCGGGGCGCGGCAGGGAAGGGGCGCGGGCCCGCCTCGCGGCCAGGCCCCCCGGGGACCCGGCGAGCCGGCGAGCGCACCGCCCAGGCCCGGCAGAGCCCGGGGCCCGCCCAGCCTCGTCCCCAGACCCCGCGCCTCCGCGGAGCGAAGCGGGGAGGGCGGGGGAGGGTACGGGTCCACCCGCCTCCCGTCCCCGAACCCCGGCGCGGGCGGCCAGCGCGGGGCCGGGAGAGGCCGCCAGGGGGCGCTGCGGCGGGAGTCGGGACCCCGGCGCGGGGCGCGGGGCCGGGCGGAGGGCGCCGCGGGGCCGGGGCCCGGGTGTCGGAAGCCGCCGGGCGCCCTCGGCCCTCGCCCCGCCGTCCTCCGCCCGCCTCGCGCGCCGCCCGGCCGCGCCAGCCCCCGCGTCCCCTTCCCGGACCTGGGGACCCCGATCCCGCGCCTCCCTCGCCCCCCGCGCCCCGCGCACTCACCGCGGAGCCTCTCGCGCCTTGCCCAGGGTGCCCATGGCCGCGCCGCCCGAGCCGCCTCACCGAGCGCCGCCGCGCATCGCCCGGCCCTGCCCGCCCGCCTCTCCCGGCCTCTCCGCCCGGCGCCCCGACGGCGGACGCGGCGCCCGGCAGAGCCGATCGGGCGCCCGGCGAGCGGACGCGGCGCCCGGCGGAACCAGGCGCAAAGTTTGTGCGCGCCCCCGGCCTCGTGCGCGCCGACACCTGCCGCGCCCGCGCGGGCCGAGGGAGGAAGCGGGGCTCGGCCCCGCCCCGCCGCGCCGCCCCGCCGCCCCCCGCTCCCGCCCCTCCCGCCGCACCCCTCCCTGTCCCGCTCCCCCGGGAGCCGGCCTGCCCAGCCCCCGCGCCCGCGCCCCGCGAACGCGTCACCCGCGCCTCGAGGGCCCGGGCTGGAACCCGGCACGCGGGATCGGAGCCGAGCCGGCTGCGGGCCTCGGATGCTCCCTGCGGCAGCGAGCCAGCCGGGCCCCCCGGAGGGCGTCCAGCCCCGAGGGCGGGCGCGGGCGGCGGGGCGGGGGTGGGGGGCGGAGGGGAGCCGAGGCTGCTGGTCCAGGGCTCATTGCGGGGGAGGAGGACGGCGGGGAGGGGGGACGGGGGGGGGGGGACGGCCGGGGGTGATGAGGGGGACGGCCAGGGGTGATGGGGGGGACGGCGGGGGTGATGGGGGGGACAGCGGGGGTGATGGGGAGGGTGGCCGGGGGTGATGGGGAGGGTGGCCGGGGGTGATGGGGGGGACGGCCGGGGGGTGATGGGGGAGGACGGCCGGGGGTGATGGGGGGGCTGTGCTTCCGGCTTCCTGTGCTTGCCTGATGGAACTTGCCACCTCCGTCCCCAAGGGCAGGGGTCACTGCCCGCTGCATCCACGCCTGTCCCAGCAGACCTTGTCTGGAGCTCTGCCTGGCTCCCTGTCATCCCTGCTGGACTGTCCTGATCGCACACCCCCTGTCACAAGCTTGCCGCCCTTCAGCCAGTGTCCTGGGCTGCCAGAGTGCCAGACCGCCGGCCACCTGTCACGACTGCAGACCTATTACCCTGTATTCATCCTACAAGTGAGTTGAAGTGGCTTACAGGCCTTCATAACCTATGAAAATAAGCCGAGAGCATAAGGGCTCAGTGATGGCACCCAGGCCCCAAGTTCAAGCCCCAGGACCAGAGAAAAACACACACAAAAACAACTCAGTGCCTAAGGCTGGAGATTTAGCTCGGTGGAAGAGCACTTGGCTCACAGGTGCAAGGCCCTGAGTTGTGTCCTCTTCTCTGCAAAACAAACAAAACAGTGCCTAGAGTACAGTGAAGTTTCTGGAAACTTCAATGAGTTCAAATAGGTTGAACAAAGACTTGTTGCAAATGCTCGGGTAGCAGAATGGCTCAAATGGTTAAAAGTGTGAGCTCTGCCGTTCCTGAATCTGAGGCTCAGTCCCAGTTACGTGATTCTAAGCAAGGCAGTAACTGTTCTTAACGCAGTGGCAGAAATGGGTGCACACGGGTGCCTACCGCGAAGGAGTTTGGTAAAGTCGCGCTTACAGTAAGCACCAAGGACGTGTTGGTGTGGAAAGTGCTTCCTCTGCACCAGGCGGTGGGGCACCTGGGCAAACATATCCAGAGCCTGGCAGGTGCCTGTGGTCCCGTGTGGTCCCGTGCACAGGCCCTGGCCTCAGGTAGGAGCAAGGCTCCGGAGCCTGCCCATTTCACAGCCTTTGTGGAGACACAGGGGCCCCTGTGGGCCGTTCAGATCCCTCTCCACGCAGGCTGAGAGTCGATGAACCACCACACGGCCCTCCACTTGCCTGTCTGGGCGCTGGAGACAAGTGGGGCTGGACCAAGGGAGCCAACTTAATTACAGCCAACACTGGGCCTCTGTGCACACACACTGCCATCGCCACCAGACCAGCGGTCACAGAACAGAACCACTTGGCTCACACAACCACTGCTTTTCAAACTCCTCTCCTGTACGTAGCTCCTAATCCTGCTCACCTGCTTCACCATTTAACCCCTCCAAAGGGGCATAGGTAAAAGCTGGAAGAAAAACCCAGTTCTTGGAAAGATTCAGCCAAAGGATGTGGGTTTTTTTTTTTTGTGGGTGGAGGCTGAAGAGCTGTTCGGTTTAATATGCATTTAGGCATGGCGTGTGATGAGCATAGGCCTGGAGTGACAGCTCTTGAAGATTGATAGACAGACTCACATGGGAAGCTGGGGGGAGGGGAGGCATTGCCAATGAAAGTGGGGTCACCGGCAGGTGCTCCTTCATTCTGTGCAAGAAATTGTGTTCTCTTTAAAGCGGGGCCTTTCTTTTGTGCATATTTAAGGAAACCTAACATTCCACACACCAGTGGCAAGCATTTCTACACTTGATTTTCACAGTGATGTTCTAATGACACCCCCCCACCTTTGTGCTAAGTAAGCAAAGCGTAATCCTGTCCCTGTTACCCGCCTACCCCCCAACAGGAATCGAACCCAGGGCTTCATGCATGCAAGGCAAGCAAGCACTCTATCACCGAGCCACCTTCCCAGCCCTCAACTTCTGGTTTTCTGGTGGTTAATTGGAGATAAGGGTCCTAAGGACTTTCCTGCCCAGGCTGGCTTTGAACCGAGGGCAATCCTCAGATCTGGGCCCCTTGAGTGGCTGAGATTACAGGCATGAGCCACTGGCACCTAGTTAGAGTAAAACCCTCCTAGACAGAAGGTAGCCTGAGGAAAGTGTAACTTGGGGTTGAATCATGGGTCTTCAAGCATTCTCTTCCTCTGTGCTGTCTCTGGCTCTCTCATTCACGCATGCTGGGTGAGTGTGACTTACCCAGAGAGATGCTAAGAAAACGTGTACCTCCTGATGGGGACAGCACCACCAGCATGAAGAAGGCGGTGGGCAAGCCCAGCTTCCCAAGGGAAGGACTTGAATTTGGGGTGACTCTTGCTTGGGCTTGGCTCAAGTTTTCTATGGGCAGCAAGCATACAGGAGCGATGTGGGGAGCTGGGGTGGTGGTAACGTCACTCTGGGAAGGCAGTTGTTTTATATATACATATATCTATGTGTACACATGGACCAGGACTTGAATTTGGGGAGACTCTTGCTTGGGCTTGGTTCAAGTTTTCTTTTTTTTGGGGGGGGTCCAGTCATGGGGCCTGAACTCTGGGCCTGTGCACTGTCCCTCAGCTCTTCAGCTCAAGGCTAGCGCTCTACCACTTGAGCCACAGCGCCACTTCCGGCTTTTTTTTCCTTTTGTTTATGTGGTGCTGAGGAATCGAACCCAGGGCCTCAGGCATGCAAGGCAAGTGCTCTACCACTGAGCCACCTTCCCAGCCCTTGGTTAAAGTTTTCTATGGGCAGCAAGTATACAGAGAGCGATGTGGGGAGCTGGGGTGGTGGTTAATGTCACTCTGGAAAGGCAGTTGTTTTATATATACATATATCTATATGTACACATGGATCAGGACTCACCCTCTGATCTGATCCTTTTGCTCATTGGCTGGCGCTTTATACCTGAGCGCTGCAAATACAAATCGAGACTGCTAGCGCCTCTGTCGAGTTTGGAACTGACCGTAACCTATCTTTTTGGAGGTGGGGATTTCTTAGTACCCATCCTTAAGAGATGCCAAATTTACTGCGAAAACCAACAGTGCCCATGTGCTGTTTTGTGCCGTTTCTGTTTCCTCCTGTACCTGGCAGTGTACACAGAAAATACCTGCTTCTGGGCGCGGGAGGCGGGGGAGATGCACACACGGCGAGCACACTGGCTCTGGAGGACTGAGCTGTCAGGCTTAGGTTTGCCGGGGCATGGCAGGCTGGGAGGGTGTCATCCGGGTGGCGTGCATGTGCTCTGCCAGCCACAGCGCGCTCCCCAAGGAGAGCCACTCCTGCCCATCTTAATTTGGCCCAGCCAGGTGTGAGGCCGCTGTGCTCGGAGCTGCGTTGAGATTGTTAGCTTGTGTTTGGGGCGCGGGGTGGGGTGTGTGTGGAGAACTCACTTAGATTGATGATGTATGTGAGAACTAAACAAGTTATATATATTCGATGTTGAAGGTGCTTTAGAAAAAATCCTCTGATAATGAGAGTTGCTGTGATTCTTGCCCTGTAGGGGTGCGAGAAAGTAAACGGGCAGAGGATGGGGTGGCTGGCCGTAGCTACGTCACAGCCTGAGACCCCACTCCCCGAAGACCTGTCTCAACTTAGCAGGAGTGTCAGAAGCACACATGTTGAGATTTGCCCTCCTCTTCCTCCACAGAATTAAAAAATATAGCCACTCATGAGGTGAGCTTGAGGATTGTGGTTCAAACTAGATAGGGGCAGACAAATCCAAGAGACTCTCATCGCCATGAACCAGCTAAAAGCCAGGAGTGGAAGTGTGGCTCACGCGCCAGCCTTGCGAGAACAAGCCAAGCAAAAGGAGTGTGAGGCCCCGGATTCACGCTGTCACACTGGCACTGCACACATACACGGGTGCCCCCAAACACACGCAAACACGAAAAGTATAGTTTACAAGCACATAAAGATGGCATCAGAGGACTGTCATCTGGATGTATACATTCTTCTGTGTTCAGTATGCTCATTCATTTTTGTTGGACTTTGCAGAGACTGAATGGAAAGACTTCTGTGGGTCCTAAGCAGGGCTGTCCTGCCTACGCCATTCCCCTGGGGTTTAGGTTGTGCCCTCCCGAAGGACTGAGACCCTTCCTCATTTCCGGAGAGTTCCTGGCTTTGGTCTGGGTGAGCCCTGGTGAGTGGATCTTCCCCTGGCCCTGCAGGATAATCCGTGGGGCAGAAGAGGACCGCGTGGAGATTGTCGGAAGTGGGCTGGGAAGGAAAGGCTTGCCTGGCTTTCTTAGGTTTTGCTTTGTTTTGTGTTTTGCTAGTTGGGGCTTGGATTCGGGGCTTGAGTCTATTACTTGAACCACGTCTCCATTTCTACTTTTTGCTGAGTCGTGGGAGATGGAGTCTCCTCGCTGCTTCTGCCCAGGGCTGACTTGGAACCACATGCAGCCCTCCAGGCCCCAGCCTCCTGAGTATTGGGAAGTACAGGTGTGAGCCCTCAGCATCCGGCTTGTGGACTGGTTTTTAGTTCCTGTGTTTCTTCTCTGGGTTACGTGAGTCCTGCTATGGAGTGCTTCCTATGAATCAACCACGGTGCCAAAAATCTTTACCATGATTTGTCAGTGGCATCGTCCCCTTTGTAAGTGAGAACATTAAGGCTTAAAGGGGTTAAGCCTCTCACACAGGAATCTAAATTTAGAGCAGCTGGGGTTCAAGCTCATCACCATTGTGCTGCTTCCCCAGATCGTGTTAGATTTGGTACCCAAAACATTTGAGCTTGTGGGTGATTGCTCAGTAGGAAGGGCTGCGTGGGGTACAGAGGCCAAGGAACCCGGCCTGACCCGAGGCTTGATGGCCAGTTGCTTAGCTGACATATTGGCCACAAGTTACTAAGCCACCATCAGGATTTGGGCCTAGTTATAAGCTGTATCATTAGCCTGGCTCAAGCTATATGCTTCCCTAAAAAATGACAAGGTTATAGCTGGGCGCCAGTGGCTCACGCCTGTCATCCTAGCTACTCAGGAGGCTGAGATCCGAGGATGGTGGTTCAAAGCCAGCCCGGGCAGAAAAGGCCATGAGACTCTTATTTCCAATAAACCACTTGAAAACCGGAAGTGGCGCTGTGGCTCAAGTGGTAGTGTGCTCGCCTTGAGCTGAAGAGCGCAGAGACAACACCCAACCCCAGAGTTCAAGCCCCACGACTGACAAAAAAAAAAAAAATGACGAGGTTAGGGAGAGCTATAAACTCAAGACTTCTTTTGGCCCTGTCCCAAGTTTTCACTTTCAAATTACTTGAAAAGCGAAAGTAGAAGTCAATGTGCTGGTAACATGTCATTGGGGCCATTCTAGCTTACTATCAGTTTTCACAATACAGGCACATGTGTACTCTGTGTGTGTGTGTGTGTGTGTATATACACGCAAGCGAGCACGTAAGCATACTTCCTTTATAGACTGGGTCAGAAAACGGTTCCTTCCTATAAATTTTTGTGTGTATATGTGTGCCAGTACTGGGTCTTGAACTCCGGGTCTTACGTTTTAACTTGACTTTTTTGCTCAAGGCTAGGGCTCTACCACTTGAGCCACAGCTCCACTTCCAGTTTTTTGCTGGTTAATTGGAGATAAGTATCCCACAGAACTTTTTGCCCAGACTGACTTCAAATTTTGATTCTTAGATTTCAACCTCCTGAATAGCTAGGATTACAGATGTGAGCCACTGATGCCTAGCTTAATTTTTATTTTTCCTGAGGAAATTATTAGATCTAGTGATTGAAGCATTTACCAAGAAGTATTATTTATTAAAGTATGGTTTCAGCAGAGTATTTAGCCGAGGTGGTTTAGAGTGCCAGCCCAGCAAATGTAAAGCCCCGAGTTCTAACTTTGGTATGGGCAAATAATTCCTTCATGAGAGTCCTGAAATTACATTAAAAAAAACAGATACAGAATAAAACAAAAATCTGCCTAGGCCAGTCTGCACTGTGATCCTCCTATTTATACTTCTGACCTAGCTGGGTCAGCAGATGCTGCCAACACACTCAGCCTTTTACTGGTTGAGAGTGAGGTCTCAAAATTTTTTTTCCTCCAGGCTGTTGTCAAACCTCAACCCTCTTGATCTTTACCTCCCAGGCAGCTAGGATTCCTGGCATGAGACGTCTCCCCTGGCTTGCATGCTGTAACTTTGATAAGCGTGTGGCTATCTGAACACTAGGACAGGTTCCTGAGAGACAGGGATGGCTTTGGAATCAGACTCCTGGCTCCCTGTGCTTGGCAGTTGTAGTTCTCTCTGAACACTATGTTCATTATTGTCTCATGATACCAGTTGGACTGGAGCTAAGGAAAATTGAGGTTTCAAGATCGACCAAAACAAAAGTCCTTTTAGTAGGCCGTGTTCTGAATTTCTTCCCTTAAGTGAACCAAAGTCATTTGTGTTTGCAGACGAGATGCCCCTGCCTGAAACTGTACCACCCGAAATCCAGGCAGGACGCGCTCTGATTGGCCAGCAGGTCCGCACTGAAAGTGCTGCCACTCACTGCCCGGTAAAAAGTCTATCTGGAAGGGGAAGCAAGAAACTGCCCTCACTGACTTATCTGTAGTGGTTCTCATGCAGTACTTCATGAGGGCACGATTATATCCCAGGTATGTATCCAGAAGAAATACTATTTCAACAGGAATAGAGCTCAGGGGAAAGATGACCATCTTACGAGTCTGTCTGTCTGTCTGTCTGAAAAACTTTCAGATCTAGTAGTTTCTTTTATTTGAGGGGGGGGGTCCGGTTGTGGGGCCTGAACTCTGGGCCTGGGCGCTGTCCCTCAGCTCTTCAGCTCAAGGCTAGCGCTCTACCACTTGAGCCACAGCGCCACTTCCGCCTTTTTTCTTTTTGCTTATGTGGTGCTGAGGAATGGAACCCAGGGCCTCAGGCATGCAAGGCAAGCGCTCTACCACTGAGCCACCTTCCCAGCCCCACAGATCTAGTAGTTTCTTAGGGAGGTGAGACTCAGATATTCGTTGGTGCTGGCTGCGTGGGTGGAACACAAAAAGTGACCCCACACTGTGTGACACCACGGGGGCTACAAAGACCCCCAAAACATCTCAGGTGAACCAGTTTGCTGGGTATTGGAGATTTGGGGTTGAGACCTCTGGAATTAAGCCAGACTGAACCTGACAAACTTGGAACCAGTGAGTCGGAACTCTGGGGGACTTTCAGGGTCCAGGGTTGGGGAACCCCAAGCCTTTCCTAATTTCCTCCGGAGACTTCTACTGAAGTGAGCTGACAGCTTCCTCTTCCGGCTCTGAGGACAGACTTCTTGTCTCTACTCACAAGTCTTTGTGCAGATACTCATCACTAACCAGTTCAGAACTGTACCATGTCTTCAAAGTGGAGCTTGGCTTTCTGACCAGAAGAGAGACTGTTGTACCTGATGGGACTGTGTCACCCACGGTGAAGTATTCTTCTCTGCCTTTAGTCATCTCCGTCTGGACAAGTCTCATTCGCCTGCCTAATTGATCCACAATTACAATTGGAGTTTTCACACCTTCCCTCTGTGCTGAATTGTTTCGCTTCATAAAAAGTGTCAGATAGCCACAAAGTTTCATAAAAATGACTTATGGAAATTTCCCCATCCTAAAAGCCATCTCCACGGTGGTCACGCCCAGTGCTCTGCCTGGCTTTACTGAGGGCTTGAACTCAGAGCCTCATTCTCTCGCTTGTCTCTTTTTTTTTTTGTCAGTTGTGGGGCTTGAACTCTGGGCCTGGGCGCTGTCCCTCAGCTCTTCAGCTCAAGGCGAGCACTCTACCACTTGAGCCACAGCACCACTTTTGGTTTTCTGGTGGTTTATTGGAGATAAGAGTCTCACAGATTTTCCTGCCCAGGGTGGCTTTGAACAGTGATCCTCAGATTTCAGCCTCTTGTGTAGCGAGGATTACAGGTGTGAGCCATCGGTAGCTGGCCTTTTTTTTTTTTTTGCCAGTCCTGGGGCTTGAACTTGGGGCCTGGGCACTGTCCCTGTGCTTCTTTTTCCTAAGGCTAGCACTCTAACACTTGAGTCACAGTGCTACTACTGGCTTTTTCTGTTTATGTGGTGCTGAGGAATCAAACCCAGGGCTTCATGTGTGCTAGGCAAGCACTCTACCCCTGAGCCACATTCCTAGCCTTCTTGCTTGGCTTTTAGCTCAAGGCCAGTACTCTACCCGTTTGAACTACACCATTTCTAGTTAACTAGTGATAAAAGTCTCATGGATGTGTCTGTCCTGGCTTGCTCAGATCTCAGCTGCCTGAGTAGCTGGGATTATAGGCATGAGGTACTGGCACCCAGCAAATTCAAAATTCTTAAGTGAAAAAAATTAGAGCTATGTCTTACTCTATTTCAGCCATGTTGTCCAACTCCCAGCTCACGTCCGGTGTGTGGTAGCCCCTGCCTCCCTTGGAGTCTCCCCTGGAGCCTTTCCTTTAGCCTTCCCAGCCTGGTGCCCCAGAAAATCCCTTCCTACTCTTCTGAGATGGTTCAGCAGATCCTAGTTCCCTGCGAGGAAGCGTTTATAACTTCACAAGTTTATTTTTAAACTATCACTTTGAGAGCACATAGAATCTGGGATGTGGTCTCGTTTTGAGGCCGCAGCTAGGAGCAGAGGAATGAGAAAGGATTTTAATTTTAGCCATCAAGTTGTGGCATCCCTACTCTTAGAGAACACTTTTGTTTAAAAAAAGAAAGGATGAAATTGTATAAGTTCAGAGCACACTAAACTACTCCATCATGGCTTTGGAGGAACTCTGGTCTACGTTCTTCATAGTTCTCTTAGCTTCACCCTGAGGTGGGCCAGAACACCTCAGCTTTTCTCCCCAAAGCAAGCCAGAGGTGTCCCCTGAGGCTGAAAGAATCGCTCTTATTCCTGGGGACACAAGAGCGCAGAATCTACATGGACCTCACCTGTCCATCTTCCTCCCCCACCCATCTGTGCTATAGGACACCCCCTTTGTGCAAGAGGAGGAGAGCTCTGAGTGGGCCTCCTTTTCCTGCCTGGTTAAAGTCCTCCACAAAGAATCCTTCCCGGTGGAAATGAATCTTTGTCTTTCTCTGAGTACAAGGGTGAGCAAAGCAGATGCCAGTGGCTTCGTGGGAGTGACTCAGAAGTGCGCGGTGGCTGCTGCGTTGTCACCTCACGGTGCCCCAGGACTCAGCGCCCAGACAGCTGTTTTTCCCAGGGGGAAGCAGGAAGGAGTGCTGAAAAAAAACAAAAACAAAAAAAACCACCACCCAAAAGTCATTTGATAAGAAAGGGCTCGCTCTGTTGGCACAGTGGATTGCAATCAGTTAGTCAACTAAGGTTTGATAAAGGCCCCTGGAAGGTACAGAGTCATTAATGCCCCGTCATTGTTCAACCTCAGGGTGACCTTCTCCATCAGCACAGGAGACATTGATCTCTGAAACAACCTGGTCTCCCTAAGACTCAAGGAAAATTCTTCCTATGGGGAAAGCCACCGATGAGAAACACAACAATCCAACTCCTCAAGCTACGGACAGAGCCCTGGACACGTGGCAGGCATAGGGAAAGAACGGAGGTCTGGAGACCTCCTTCACTTCATGGAGGCTGGTGGCGGGAGCATCTGTCCTCAGGAAGCCTGCCTCCACTTGTTCAAAGTTCGTCTCTCCTTGTAGCTGTCCGTCTGGCACAATGGCACACTGCTTCTCCAGGAATCTTACCTCCAGTGAGTGTGACTTTCTGGAAATTGCTTTGGCCCTAAGAAACTGGAGATCACACAAGGCAGATTTTATTTTACTTTATTTATGTCACCGTGTATTTTCGATGTGGTCTACACTATTTTCCAAAGAATATTTCTATGTGCAACATTAATACGTATACAAAAGGCTGATGGTCAAGGAAGTTGGCAGGGTTAATATGAGTTACATAGGTTTCTCTGTGGTAGGGTTGTTCAGAACTTTTCATGGATGCCCTTAATGAATCTCAGGAGTTTCTGAGGTTTTTTTTTTTTTTCTCAGAGTCCATGATATAACAGTGACTTAACCAACACACTTGAAGTGACATTGATTATTTGAGGTGTCCTTATACAGTAGGCATCTGAAATACCCCACAGGGACACACCAAGGGTAGCCAAAGGACACACGAGTCTAATCCCGAGTTCTTATTAGCAACGGCAGCAGCAAGCAATAGCAAGTTGCTATCTTTTTTTTTTTTTTTTTGTCTGTTGTGGGGCCTGAACTCTGGGCCTGAACGCTTTCCCTGCCCTTTTTAGCTCAAGGCGAGCGCTCTACCGATCGAACCACAGCGCCACTTCTGGTTTTCTAGCAGTTTATTTGAGATAAGAGTCTCACAGAGTTTCCTGCCCCAGCTGGCTTTGAACCGTGATCCTCAGATCTCAGCCTCCTGAGTAGCTAGGATGACAGGCGTGAGCCACCGCTGCCCAGTGCTGCTATCATATATAAAGTTAGCAAATTATGGCCATAGTTGGTTTGTGGGGCAAGCGCTAGGGGCATCCAATGAGAACTGTGAACTCACACAAATGTCAGTCTGTGGTTCCTGTGAAGATGGCAACACGTCTCATAACAGAAATCCCTTCTCTCGTTTGTTTGGATGCTGTATCGGCGAGGAGACCTCTCTCTCTCTCTCTTTCCATTCATCTACTCTTCATCAAATCAACACAGTTGAATGCCTCTTTTGGGACAAAGTACTAGTTGCTTCTAGAAAAGTTATGCCAAGACTCATACAATCCTCTTGGAAGATGCACATCCTTCAGAGACTGCTTGTGGTGACTGTATGTGAGGTTATCCTGCCGATGCCCGGGGCACTGTGGCTTGTGGGCATGAGCCTGGCCGGACAGGCCACTGCAGCTGCTCCTCATGGTCATGAACGAGTCGCCTCTCGGTTGGATGAAGCACGTGGCAGCCGCAGCTTTGCTGTGGGCGATTTCCCCCCATCACTCCTGCAGACCTAACTTTCTTTTCCCAAACTTGGGTTTTATAATTACTTTCCCAGAGATGAAGGGAGAGCCTGGCTGCACGTTTTCACCCTGGGCTCACGCCGGCCAGCCTGTCTGCCGGTGCTGGAGAGCTGTGCTGGGAAATGCTGTCTTCCCATGAGTGTTTCAGCCAGGCAACTGTGGAGACTTGTCTTGAAAGGGGTGAGCCAGGGCCAACAGACCACACTGGGGGTCCAGAGCCCTGTGGACCCCACCGGGGCACAAGTGGTAAACAGTCATGCTAAACAATCACACAATTCATGGCTGCTCCTGCCCCCCAGACACTGTGGTATGCACTTGACATACATTAACTCCCTTACAGTTCCAAAATAGCACGGCGGGGGCGCACGGTTATTAGCCCGGATTCACATGTGAGGAGAGCAGCAAGTTTGCGCTGCCTACTTCACAGCTTGGGCTCACAGCTGGTAAGTGGGGGCCTGGTACCAGAGGCACCCTGGGCAGTTTGCCCTGTGTGACCCTCCCTCCTGCGGCTGAGTGGATCCTGGATGGACACCTGACTCCACACGGCCAGTTCATTGGCTAATGGGATCCTCAAGCATTTTGAGCAGGAGTAGCAGAGGTTCTGGTCCCTAGAAAGAGGGCAGGAATGCGGCCGCCGCTGTGGATTGGGGCAAGCTGATGAGGAAGTAGAGGGGGGTGGTGTGGTGAGGGGCTGGTGGCAAGAAAGCCCCTGTGATCCCACGAAACAGATAAACAGATGGTGTCTGCGGCGTAACAGGCCTAGGTTGGAATATGGTCCTTGGATAAAGAACCCACTGCTCTAGAACCCAGATTCATTGTTACACAACCAAAGCTCACAGACAACAGCTGCTAAGCATGGCTGTTTCCTTTCCTAAGATCCCATCATTTGCCTCTGTGTGTGTGTATGTGTGTATGTGTTGGTACTGGGGCTTGAACTCAGGGCCTTGAACTCTCACTTGGCTTTTTTGCTCAAGGCTGATAGATACTCTTGAGCCACACCTCCATTTCCAGCTTGTTGTTGAATAATTGGAGTCTTATTTCCTCTGGGTGCCTCCCATGCCACTCGTCCTTGGGGGGTAATTTGTGGTCAGTCTGCAGTGAGGACATCTCCCTCAAGGCAGAGAAACCTGAGCCAATGCCAACCAAAAGGAGGCTTCTCAATAGTGGAACCTCATGTGCTCCTAGCCTGACCTTTGTGCAACAAACTTCCTTTGAAGGCTTCATGCATATGATTGTATCTCACACAGATACTTAAAACCAGGGGATGGCAATCATGTAAGATGCACAGTTCCTTTCCCAACATCTGTCAAGTCATGATCCTCAAAGCCCACACACTCCAAATCCTAGAAAATGGAATCCTTAACCACATGTTTCCTTAACACTATGCCTTTTTTTTCTCTTTGTGTGGTCACTTTGTGTGGTCACTTTGTGTGTGTGTGTGTGTATGTGTCTTTGTTCAATTCTATCCTTGGTTGGAGAAGCCAAGAATCTGAGATCTTCACCTCCTTAACCACACTCCTGTTACCCTTAGATCATCTTCAGTCTCTCCATAACCATCTCTGACACCGCTACCTTCTCCCTTCCACATCTCTAGCAGCTCCCTTTTCACTTTCATGTCCTTCTCCAACACCCCTCAATTCCACACTTGACAGGAAACACGTGAGACTTTCCTTTGGGAGTCGGACTCACTTCACTGAATGCCATCTTGAGCTGCCTCATCTTGCGCTCTCTTTTTGGAGATAGGCAGAATGCCCAGTTTCTACTGCTAGACTCCACTGTTAGGGCCGGTAGGTAAAATCAAGTTATCACAGAGGAGAGGGAAGAGAGGGAAGAGGACAAAAGGGCAGGGGGGGAGGGCAGGAACGGCTGTCTCAGTGGTTCAAGGAAGTTCTGGATAAGTTGCTGGAGTCCAGATGGCTGGAACAGTAAGTGAGACCACCCTCAGCCCATCCTCAGCTAGGTGCCACCTCCAGGAAGTCAGTAGTTCAGCTGATTCATAGCTCAGTTTGTGGCACTGACACCCTTTCTTATAAGAAAGGTTTGCTGAGGACAGAGGAAGGAGTCTTAGCTTAGGAAGGCTTCCCGGAAACTCTGAACATTGGAACAGAAAAACTTGCTGTGTGTCTTAGCTACGCCTCCTCCATGTTAAACATAGGATGGTGGCTCGCTTCCTCCCTCCCAGCAACTGTATTGACCTCCTTGGAGTTGGAGCCACTGCATAGGCTTTGAGGGCTGGCTTCCTGTCCCGGCTTCTCCCCTCTGAGGTCTGTGTTTCGCAGTGACAGCCCCAAATCTAGGCCTGGCTATCGGCTTTCCCTTTGTCAGACCTCCCCCACGGTGCAGACTTTGAGGCCAACCACACACCTTTGACAAGTTACATTTGCACAGAGTCAATCTTGTAGCTCATAGAGCAAAAGCTATATATAGCAAACCCTAGAGTTTTCTGGGCTCTGGTTGTTCCCTGAAATGTTCAGGGCCCAAGGCTGACATCCCAAGCAACACTGGAGTGTCCTGGATGGCTGCTCAGTACCCCTCTTACCTCAGCAGGGATCCCCTAGGGGATATCTTGCTTTGTGGGGGCCTGAGGAAGGAAAGAAATGCCCTCTGAGTACCAGGGTCTTTCTAGGACCACACTCGGAGAACTGCTCTCTTGTCAGTGCAGCACTGACAAGTTCAACTCACAATTCCCAGTGTTACAGGGAAGAGAGTCCACCACACACAGACAGTCTCATATAAAAAGATGGATTTATTTGGGGAAGTGAAAAGCTGGCCGGCCAGGGATGCAGCAGACTCGGGAGCTGACACTGCGACCTTGAGCCGTCCTCAAGCTGGGGTTTTAAAGGCAAAAACCACAGAACCCTGTGGTCGAGGCTGGCCACACACAGGTGGCGATAGCATTGCCAGACACACAGAAAGATTACCTAATTGGTGGGCACACGGCGGGGGGGTCTCCCCATGAGTCTGGGGGGGGGGGTCGTCTTTCTATAAGTCTCCCCAAATAGAGGAAGTCCTTTTTGGGAACAAGCTGGTCTGTTACATTTTATAATGCAAATGGTCAAGCAAGTCAGATAATCTTATTATAGCAAGTAGAGGAACTTTCCAGTTTTAACATTTTAGTATTGTTTTAACATTCAGATCGTCAGCATTTTAATTTTTAGCTCAGGGGAGGGGGAAAAAGCTCCTAGTACATTAGAGATGGAGTCAGTTTCTTCTCTTCCGGCTCCCCTTAACACTGGGTATTTGGGTGGGACTGGCCTCAGTTTTACTCTTTTCCTCTCCTGGCCTAGAAGTGCAATCAAACCACAGTCTCTTGACTCTCGAGTCCCACCCAGCCACTAATAATAATTAATAATAATAATAATAATAATGAGAGGTGTCTCAGTAGAAGGGAAGGGAGTAAAATTAGTTGTGCGCATGCGCCAGTGTCACTGCTGTGGGTCTCTGGCTGTGTGGACTCCAGGGACTCCTAGGGTGGAACAAGCGCCTCTGGTCACTGCCACCTTGTGTGTGTGTGTGTGATGAAGCCATAGGCACTGGGGAACCACAACCAGCTTCGGGAACAGAAAGCTCGCGAAGGCATCATGAAAACTGCACAGAGGCAGAGCCGAGGCTGATACAGCGCATGCGCAGACGCATCCTACACGCTCACCTGGCGCGTCTGCGGCCACAGCGAGAAGTAAATCTGGCGCATGCGCACACACATCAGGAAGGCTAA